TTTTTTCCTGTAATTCAGATCTAATCTTACTGCACTGTGGTCAGAAAAGATGACTGGAATGATTTCAATCTTTTTGAATTTACCAAGACTAGATTTATGGCCCAGGATGTGATCTATTCTGGAGAAGGTTCCGTGTGCACTTGAGAAAAAGGTGAAGTTGATTGTTTTGGGGTGAAACGTCCTATAGATGTCAATAAGGTCTAGCTGGTCCATTGTGTCCTTTAAAGTTTGTGTTTCCTTGTTCATTTTCTGTTTAGTTGATCTAGCCATAGTTGTGAGTGGAGTATTGAAGTCTCCTACTATTATTGTGTTACTATTAATTTCCTCTTTCATACTCGTTAGCGTTTGCCTTACATATTGCGGTGCTCCTATGTTGGGTGCATATATATTTATAATTGTTATATCTTCTTCTTGGATTGATCCTTTGATCATTATGTAGTGTCCATCTTTGTCTCTTTTCACAGCCTTTATTTGAAAGTCTATTTTATCTGATATGAGTATTGCGACTCCTGCTTTCTTTTGGTCTCCGTTTGCGTGGAATATTTTTTTCCAGCCCTTCACTTTTAGTCTGTATGTGTCCCTTGTTTTGAGGTGGGTCTCTTGTAGACAACATATATAGGGGTCTTGCTTTTGTATCCATTCAGCCAGCCTTTGTCTTTTGGTTGGGGCATTCAACCCATTTACATTTAAGGTAATTATTGATAGGTATGGTCCTGTTGCCATTTATTTTGTTGTTTGGGGTTCATGTTTATACCACCTTTCTGTGTTTCCTGTCTAGAGAAGATCCTTTAGTATTTGTTGAAGAGCTGGTTTGGTGGTGCTGAATTCTGTCAGCTTTTGCTTGTCTGTAAAGCTTTTGAGTTCTCCTTCATATCTGAATGAGATCCTTGCTGGGTACAGTAATCTAGGTTGTAGGTTATTCTCTTTCATTACTTTAAGTATGTCCTGCCATTCCCTTCTGGCCTGAAGGGTTTCTATTGATAGATCAGCTGTTATCCTTATGGGAATCCCTTTGTGTGTTATTTGTTGTTTCTCCCTTGCTGCTTTTAATATTTGTTCTTTGTGTTTGATCTTTGTCAATTTGATTAATATGTGTCTTGGGGTGTTTCGCCTTGGGTTTATCCTGTTTGGGACTCTCTGGGTTTCTTGGACTTGGGTGGCTATTTCCTTCCCCATTTTAGGGAAGTTTTCAGCTATTATCTCCTCGAGTAACTTCTCATGGCCTTTCTTTTTGTCTTCTTCTTCTGGGACTCCTATGATTCGAATGTTGGGGCGTTTCACATTGTCCCAGAGGTCCCTGAGGTTGTCCTCATTTCTTTTGATTCTTTTTTCTTTTTTCCTCTCTGCTTCATTTATTTCCACCATTTTATCTTCTAACTCACTTATCCTATCTTCTGTCTCTGTTATTCTACTCATGGTTCCCTCCAGAGTGTTTTTTATCTCATTTATTTCATTATTAATGTTTAATTGACTTTTTAAAATTTCTTCTAGGTCCTTGTTAAACCTTTCTTGCATCTTCTCAATCTTTGTCTCCAGGCTATTTATTTGTAACTCCATTTTGTTTTCAAGATTTTGGATCATTTTTATTATCATTATTCTAAATTCTTTTTCAGGTAGATTCCCTATTTCCTCCTCTTTTGTTTGACTTGGTGGGCTTTTTTCATGTTCCTTTACCTGTTGGGTATTTCTCTGCCTTTTCATCTTGTTTAGATTGCTGTGTCTGGAGTGAGCTTTCTGTATTCTTGTGGTCTGTGGTTCCTTTTTATTGTGGAGGTTTCACCCAGTGGGTGGGGTTGGACGATTGGTTTGTCAAGGTTTCCTGTTTAGGGAAGCTTGTGTCAGTGTTCTGGTGCGTGGAATTGGATTTCTTCTCTCTGGAGTGCAATGGAGTGTCCAGTAATGAGTTTTGCGATGGGTCTTTGTGTTAGGTGTGACTTTGGACAGCCTGTATGTTGACACTCAGGTCTATGTTCCTGCGTTGCTAAAGAATTTGTGTGGTATGTCTTGTATTAGAGCTTATTGGCTCTTGGGTGGTGGTTGGTTTTAGTGTAGGTATGGAGGCTTTTGGGTGGTCTCTTATTCCTTAATGTTCCATGTAGTCAGGAGTTTTCTGGTTTTCTCAGAATTTGGGCTTAAGTCTCCTGCCTCTGGATTTCAGTTTTATTCTTCCAATAGTCTCAAGACTTCTCCAAATATACAGCACTGATAATAAAACTTCTAGGTTAATGGTGAAAAGATTCTCCACTGTGAGAGACAACCAGAGAGAGTCATAGAGTTACATGAAGAATAGGAGAGGGAGGAAGGAGGTAGAGGTGAGCAGGAGGAGAAAAAGGGGACTCAAGAGGAGAGAGACAGATCTACGCAGTTATCTGTTCCCAAAGTGTTCTCTGTAGCCCAGACACCCACGAAGATTCACAGAGTTGGATTGGGAAGAGAAGGGGAAAGGAGGAAATAGGGGTGTTCTGAGGTAGAAAACAGAGAGTCAAAAGTGGGAGAGTGATCACCACACTCCTGAATAGAAATAGGAACTGAATATTGGATTCTTAAATGTCCAAAATTTATATCACATACTGAAAAATAAAGATTAAAAATCTAGTGTAGAGGTTAGACTCTTTGAAATACAATATTTAAAAACAAAAACAAAAACACACAAAAAAATAGAAATGTATATGAAGTTTGGTTTAAAAATAGGGTTTCTCTCTCTCTCTTTTTTTTTTTTGGCAAGGTTATAGTGAAATGAAAATGGAAATTAAGGAATAATAGAGGAGTATTAGAGGACTTTAAAAGGAAATAGAAGAGAAAAATAAGAAAAAGAAAACAAGAAAAAAAAGAAAAAAAAAATTTTTTCCTCCTAATTAAAAAAAATCATAAAAATATATGAAAATGAAAGTTGAGGAGTAATGGAGTAATAGGGAATTTTAAAAGAAAATAAAAGAGAAAAAATTAAAAAAAAAAGGAAAGAAAAAAAAATTTTTTTTTTAAATTAAAAAAAAAACATATATATCTAGGAATTTCTCTGGAGGTGTTGCGGTCAGTGTAGGTTCAGTTCAATTTCAGATAGCTCCTCTTTCCAGCTTACACTTCTAGATATCTATAGGCCCCTCCCAGTGTAGTCGGTGTTACCTTCAGGGATTTTAATCTGTTGCACCGGTCCTTCCTGAAGCGGTTCCCTTTGCCGTCTCTTCGGTGTCTAATTTCCGCCCTGACACAGGCGGGCGGAGGTGATCTCTTATTTAGGTGTTCTAGTTCAGTTCAGTCCTGCTACGGGGAGGGCGGGGCGCTGCAGACAGATACCGCTCTGTGTGGATAGCACTCACCGTGTTCCGGTCACACTGGGTTTGCCCCTCTCACAGGTGTCAGTGCTTTCCCCGTCTACACTGCTCAGGCTCCCGGCTGCTCTATATGGAGCAGGCCCTGCGTTGAGTGCGGTTCCAGTTTTCGGGTACTCCACAAAAGCGCGGATTCGGTTGCGCCTGCGTTTTGTGCCTTTCCTGGCCTGAGCGGCTCAGGCAGCCAGAGGCTTGGGTGCACTCTTTCCGGGTATGGCGCCCTTTTCCCCTCCTCTGCCCCAGCGCGCCGCAAGTCGGGTCTCAGGAAGTCTTTAGATTGGAACCAGGGGCCTGTTTGCAGTGTGGGAGGGGGTGGCTTTTCAGGGGCCGAGTTTGCCCTTTCCCCCCCCACCCCTGCCTCCAACCTCCAGCGGGGATGGGCCGGTTCTTCTCTGGACTTTCTCAGTCCCTTTGTTTTGCCAACCTCAGGCAGTGTGTTCCGGCCGGTTAATTTTGTCCCACCGTTTAAAAAAAGCTCCCTCCAATTGCTCTCAGGGTCCTTGGGCCGGTCCACACCCCAAGCAATGCTGCCCTCTCCTCTCCGCTCAGCCCCAGCCCATCGCTGGCGGGTGCGGGCGTCCGGGGCACTTCTCTGCTGGGAGTTGCCTCCAGGCACGTAATCTTTGGGCCTTATTCAATTTTTCCTCCCAGTTAGATTGCCGAAAACTCGCCCCAGTCCCGCCAGTGCGAGGGTTTCCCAGTGATTGGAAACTTCCTCTACCAAGACTCCCTTCCCGGGACGGGTCTCCGTCTGCAGCTCTTCTGTCTCCCTTTTTATCTTTTATATTTTGTCCTACCTCCCTTTGAAGACAATGGGCTGCTTTTCTGGGCGCCTGATGTCCTCTGCTAGCGATCAGAAGTTGTTTTGTGAAATTTGCTCAGCGTTCAAATGTTCTTTCGATGAATTTGTAGGGGAGAAAGTGGTCTCCCTGTCCTATTCCTCCGCCATCTTGGCTCCTCCCTCACATTATTCTTTTAAGTTGTACTGTTTTTCATGTAGTTACTAAATTGGCCACAATATGAAAAGGAGAGTATATGCAATATTCTAATTCAATATTCTAATCTATATGCAATATTCTAATAATTCTGTCAGATTATGTTTATTTTCCTTGTGTGGTAATAAAAAATAAGGTTAAACATGGTACAATATTTACTCAATTACTGAAAAGAGTAATTCTGGTGAAATCACAAAATGCTATTCTCTCTTGCATTTTGAAATTTCAGCAGAAGAAAAGTGCATGAGAGAAGGTTTACAATCTGAATGGAAAAAATGTATATGTGTATATATATGTACATATATGAAGAGTTCAAATTTAAATGGAAAAATTAAAATACACATATGCAAATATCCTTGATAAACTGCTGACAATAAAAGTATAAATGCTGAAAATGAATCTAGGGAGGCTGTGTGGATATTAATAAATTTTGAAAAACCTGGATTTTAATTTAATTGCTCTTCATTCATATACCTCTAATTCATGAAACAGAACTTTTATATTTTCATTTCCTTGAGAAAAACATAGTCTTCCTTGCCATGTCCATGAAGGATGTCTTGACTTGCTGATTCCTAAGGGTGTAGATAGAGGGGCTCGGCATGGGTGCTACTGAGGTATTTAACACAGCTACTCCCTGCTCAAAGAGACCCTATCTTTTGCAGATGGAATCACATACATGAAAATGCAGCTGCCATAAGAGATGGAGATGACAATCATGTGGGAAGAACATGTGGAAAAGGCCTTTGTCCTCTGGGTGGTAGAAGGGATCCTCAAAATTGTTCTGAAGACATATATGTAGGACAGAATTATTAATGCTAAAGTAAACAATAGAATAAACACAGCACAGGAAAACCCCAGTATCTCTAGGAATTTGGTGTCTGAACAAGAAAGGTATAATAAAGGGAAATAATCACAAGTAAAACAGTTGATAACATTGGACTTACAGTAATCAAGCTGTATGAAGAACATGAGTAATGGGAATAAAATTAAGAATGAAGTCAGCCAAGAGGCCAAGACAAGCAGTGTGCAGACTCTATGATTCATGATGGTCATGTAATGCAGCAGTTTGTAGATGGCAATGTAGCGGTCATAGGACATGGCAGCCAGAAGGTAAAACTCAGTGATTCCAAGAAAATGAAAAAAAAGGAGCCATGCAATCATTAAAAGAGATTTTTTTTATCTCCCATAATAATGGTGGCCAAGAACTTGGGAATAGTGACAGTTGTGAATGAAACTTCCAATATGGAGAAACTGCTGAGGAACAATGGGGGTCTGGAGGTGAATATCCAGCAGGGTCAGGATGATAATGGTCAGATTCCCAGTGATGCTGAGCATGTAGGTAATGAGCAGAAAGATAAAGATCACAACCTGAAGTTGTGGGTCATCTGACAGTCCCAGGAGGATAAATTCTGTTATTTCTGTGTAGTTTCTCATTTTTCTTCTTCTTTTAAGTAACGTTCAGGAGAAAACACAAAGGGAAGACACATAAAAGGGGATTATCAATGTATAACACTGGGATTTGCCTCTGAAAGTGAATTTACTATGCTATGCTAACATAATTCAGGAGATCTTTAAAAACAAGTTAATAAAAATAGATAACTTACTTTGAAGTAAGTTTTTACCATATGCCAGTATGTGTGTTTCACATAGAATATTTCTTTATAAAATCCCTATTTTACAGGTTGGAGTCAGAGTAGAAATAATTTAAAAAATCTTATCTAAATCACATACCCTGAATTGAAAAAGCAGGGATTATAACCTAGATCTTTCTAAAACTTAGGAAATACAGTAAAATAGATGCTACCTGTTGACTTTTTAAATGCCCCACCCCTCACTCTTAGAGGATTCCCTCCTGTTGGGAAAGACTTCATCTTTGTTCAAGCCCCATAAAATCATCCTATCCTAATTTGTGTCACCTGGTTCCTTGTATAGTTATTCTCTACTGTAATATAGGAAATCTAAATGTCTCAGGAAAAAGTCACCCAGTGGATATGTCTCCAAAATAAAAGTGATTGGAATGAAATCTTTAACAACATGACAGATTTCTAAGTTTTCACTCAGACTCACATTAACCTCCCAACCTCATACCCCTCTTCTGAAGCCCCAGATAATGGAATAAAGGAATCCAGACAGTGGATTTGCTTCAGCAGTCTTCTCAGATATTAGATAGTCAAGAGAGGAGGCAGAGTGGACCTTTAGTAGATTGGGTCTGTGTTATGAGTTAAGGAAACCAAAATGTGTTATTCAGTCTGCAAGTCGTGTCCGAATTGTTGTGACCCCATGGACTGCAGCACGCCAGGCTTCCCTGTCCCTCACCATCTCCCAGACTCTGCTCAAGTTCATGTCCATTGCATTGGTGATGCCATACATGCCATCAAGCTATGGTGATTCCATGCCTCTGACATCCTCTTCTCCTTCTGCCCTCAATCTTTCCCAGCATCACAGTCTTTTCCAATGTGTCAGCTGTTGGCATCAACTGGCCAAATAATTGAAGCTTTCAGTAGATAGCAGCAATGGAGCTGCTCTACTACATAGGAAATCCCAAACAAGAATTAGGTCATCTACGAATGGCTTAGCACCAGGCACAAATTGGGGTGCTGTTATGGGTCAGGGGTGGCTACCTTTCTGGCTGCACCCGATGTCCCAGGAAGAAGGGCTCTCTGCTCCTGACCCTGGTCCCAAAGCACAGGATGGCGCTCCCTTAGGGACCCGGTGGAGGCCTGCCAGCAGGGATGTTGGGGGACCAGCTACCCAAGGCCGATCAAGGCTCCTGCGATGCTGCCATATCATTCTGTATGGGCAGGATTCTGACTTAGAGGTGTTCAGTCATAATCCCACAGATGGTAGCTTCGCTCCATTGGCTCCTCAGCTAAGCTCTCAACCAAAGTGTATGAATATCTAAAAACAAACATTACCTTCTAGAGAACATTTTTTCTTCAAAATTTCTCCCATCTAAATGTTATTAGTATGTTATTAGTATGTATGACTCTGATCTGTAAACCATTTCTGGAATGTGAGGTGTTAACCATTCCTGGGATGTTTTTGGTGAAGTAATGAAGAATATATCCAAATTTCTAAGACATCATTTCAGACTTTTTTTCCTTACAACTCATTCATATTTCCCCCCCTTAGTCCCATGGATCTTAGGATAACAAGTTCCATATTCCTTTCTGTCCCTTTCTTTTTAATGAATTCTAGTGTCTTGGATAAGGGCTTCCCAGGAGGCACTGGTGGTAAAGAACATGCCTGCCAATTCAGGAGACATAGGAGATGTGGGTTCCATCTCTGGGTTGGGAAGATCCAATGGAGGAGGGCGTGGCAATCCACTCCAGTCCTGCCTGGAGAATCCCCATGTACAAATGAGCCTGGCAGTCCATAGGGTCTCAAAGAGTCAGACACGACTGAAGTGACTTAGAAGCAGTGTCTTGAATATCTCATTGTCGAAACAGGCATGTGGCTCATTGAAAGTGAAAATTAATCTATATGATAAATTAGATTTATAATATAAATGTTGGCCATTGTGTTAAATAAGATAACTGGAAGTGATTTTCAGGACACATATGCTATTCCATAGTAAACTGTAAGCATAGCTTCTTTAAGAAATGATCACTAACATTCCCCAAATTCACCAATTTGAAAAAGTGACAGTATTTAAATGTCTATTAAAGATTGTGTTCCTTATTTTATATAAATTGTGAGACATGAGTGGGGAGCTCTCTAAATTCCACAATATAATTGGAAACAAATTAGCTTCTCACATTCTCTATGTGTACTGAATTTTCTCTTCTTAACTTTAAGACTCCTAAGGGAATCGTAAGTAATTCAATGAACACATATATCCTCAAGGCAGTTTGCACCCTTTGCATACTATATAATATTCCACTTCCTATCTTTTCCTTCCACTTGAGGATCTTTTCCTTGGTGTTAGGTTTATAAGCTAGAATAATTTGTCACAGAAGAGAACAGAATATTTATTAAATTTGATATCTTGGGTAATAGCTTGGTTTTATAACAATCCTAATCTTTTTCTAGAATGATTTGTTCCACTCCTGATTGTGTTCGCTGACGTCTAATACCATGTAAGAACATCATCATGACTGTATGGAAAAAAAAAAATCTCATAAGAGTCAATTTAGATTATTTTCAGATTATTACTTTAAGACTGCCTTTGACTAGTCCTAAAATCAGTTCAGAATCCTGTTTCTCTTAGTCCTCTAGTTTGTTTTTTTTTAAGTCCTTGTTTTTTTCTTAATGGAAAAGGGAAATCAAATCAAAGCACCAATAAGTATGAATGGGAATAATGAAGGAAAAACTGTAAAGACCTAAGTCACTCTCAAAATCTGTATATTTTCCTAGAAATGTTGCTTTTTTTCTCTCCTAATTGTCTCAGTTTTAACTATTATCTATGTCTGAAGATAATTTTTAACTTAAAAAGGAAATAAATTCTTATAAAAATATGGCATCAGGACTTAATTTTACTTAAAAATGTGTGAGACTGTTAGGGATTTGCATTCCAAGATAAATTATTAAAAATACAACTCTCTGAGTTACAGGTTTCTTTTCCACTATGAACATGACTATAATATTTCATGGAATTATTATGAGGGCTAATTTAATTAAAAGAAAAGTTAAATTATATAAAACTTTAAAGCATGTATTCCCACAGAGTAAATACTATTTTTATTATTATTCCTAAAAATAAAGTCAATTATTACCTTTGAGGAAGATGATCCCAATATAAAAAAATAATAGCCATTTTTTTGTGGAAACTAGTTTGAAAGACAATGCTAAGATTTATGTAGTTATCTAACAGAATCATTACAATAGTTTTGTGTAGTGATTGAATAAGCTAACAATGAGAGGCTAAATATTGAACAAAATCATACAGCTAATAAATGGTCAAGTTGGTATTCTAAATTCTTTCTGCTTGAACTGAAGCATGTGTTATTTATTAAACATATATTCAATAAGGAGGGCCAAACTCAAAGAGCAATTTTCTAACAATGAATAAATAATTAGTAAGACAAACAGAAAATACTAATGTGCTCATTCTTCATAACCCTTGGTATTTACAGAAAGGAAAGGCATCTCCAAATTATTCATCTCAATGTAATGAAAAGTTAAGCTAAAAACATATAAATCAATGCTAAGAAAAAGTTGTCATTGGCTTTTACTTTACAGCCTTACCTCTATCTGTACAAATGCATCACTTCAGGTGACTGAAACTATTTTTAAAAATTGGTAACTATATCAATTTTAGGATAAGATATTGAGCATTTCTAAAAATGCTCTATCTCAACACATTTGGAATTACCTTATTTCTATGGATAAATTTCTTTGATACATTTTACATGGAAGCCATGGGAGCAAAAACAGGGAAGGGAAGCAAGATATGGAATTACTGTGGTCCTTTCTGGATGTGATTTCTATATGAATTTTAACCTGCATGAGGCAAATGTTGCTTTATTCACCATATGACCAAGGCTCATGGGAAATACTCCAGCAAATCAAATATGACAACAGAGCCAAAAGGAAAGAAAATACACTAAGGATTATAAACATGTTATCAACATTTATACCACTACTGAGACAGAAAACTTGGCAGATAATATCCAAACAGATAGAAAAGCATGAGAACTTGCCCAGAAGCATATAGATTATTTTGCTTACTATCTATGTGAAGATATCTAAATGTACAAGATTTTGGAAGAGATTTCTTGAATATCCTAAATCACCATTTCTCTGAAGAATAGACCTTTTTCCCCTTGCTGACTAAAATATTGTGATGAATGAATCATATGTGTAAACATTAAATTTTCCTTTCTTATGTAATAAAATGTCTCTATAAAGTGGCTCTCTAGGCTATTAAATATTAAAAAAATCAAATAGAACACAATAAAAACAAGAATGAGATAAAATATCATACTCAGTGAATCCCATGCAAGTTATGAGAAATTTTGGATTAAATATACTTTAAACTGTTCAAACTCTTCCAAAAACTTTTCAAGTTATTTTTCCATAATAATGGTAATAATTGTTGAGAAGGATCTATCAGAGGTCCTGTTTTCATCTGATTGATGGTCTGTGTTCCAGTAATT